ACTCCTGGCCCGACTGTTGCCGAGGATTTCTCATCGTGAGGGCCGCTGCTTTGTTACTCGTGAGCAGCGTGATCCTGTAGTCTTTCAGTCCCACTAGTATATTCAATGTGTGTGCTAGTGCTGCTAGCTCCGCGGAGAATAGGTTTTGCTCTAATCTTGGGCCTAGTGTCGTGGAGAAGGTCTTCAGTTTTAGCTTCCGATATCGAGGTGGCTGTTTTTTGATCGCTACCCTAAGACCTACGAGGCCGTTTCGTGCTGAACTACTAACCGCAACTTGCAATAATCCGCCCGGTACGGTGTGCGAGTGCGGCATTACTTCAACATCGCTCTGTATGCGAGTTTCCCACGGTGCTAACACGAACGGATTGATAGTTTCCAGAGTTTCCATCTCAATGTTTTTCAGCGCGTCCGCTACCTAGTACAGTAGCGAACGGTGGTATCTCCTGAACTTCTTCATGCAGGCTGTGCTCCTGCGGAGCGGGTAGGTTTCTAGAAGGGTGTGCATATCCGTCCATATTTTCACGGCCTGTCTCCAAAAACGGTGTTGTGCGGTAGCAATGTAAGCCTCGGCATCCGCTACGCTGGTCGCAACGGTGAGAAATATCCCGACAATTGCTTACGCTCCTACCCTTTAGACTCGATTGATCGGCCCGCTAGCCTTGTGCTTGCAGGCGTACATCCAGACACTAGAAGCATAGTCTACCACTAGGGCCACTGTCGATATGAACAGCTGTCGTGCGGTTGCTGGTGTTAGGCCGCGAAGTCGCCGAAGCTCCATCGCTGCCTCTAGGCCTTTAGATGCCGCCCTCGCGATATGTTCCTTGTACTTAAGTCTTGTGTCGATAAGAACGCCCAGGATCTTGACATGATCTCTAGGTATAACAGTCTGTCCCTTGATAGTGAAAGGCTCCTGGTCTGTTTTGTGAACTTTAGGAGCGAAGTGTATAATGGCTGTTTTGTCTGCCTCAAAAGTCGCTCCACTCCTTTCCTCCCAGTCGAGCGCTTTAGCGATAATTACTTCAATACCTTCCCGATTGCTCTGCGCCGTTAGTCCGGTCACCTACGCGGTAAAATCGTCCACGAACGCGATTGCTCCTCCTTAGCTGTCGATCTGTCGTTAAACGAGGTCTGCGTTGAAGAAGAGGAACAAAATCGGGGATAGCGGCGAGCCCTGCGGCAGCCCAGCCTATGGCAGGCTTTGGACTTCAGACAATTGCCTATTGATTTGGATGGTCGCTGTTCGTTCCGAGCAGAACGCCTCAACCCACCGGAGCAGATCCTCCGGTATACCTCGCGCTTTTATCCTCTAAAGCAATCGTTCTTTGCACACTCCATTATAGGCCCCTTTGACATCGAAGCTGATCAAGCTCAATACCCGTCGGCCGCGCTACGCCGTGTAGATTTGCTCTTGCAGAAACACGAGTGCTTGCTCCGCAGACCGCTGCTTTCGGGCTCCGAAGTGGCTAGTCGGGAGCAAGCCGTACGTCTCCACCGCGTGTGAGATCCGTTCTGCAACTACTGACTCTAATATCTTGCCCAGCGTCGCGAGGAGCGAAATTGGTCTCTATGCTTTAGCAATGTTGTAGTTCTCTTTATTCGGCTTTTTGAGCGGTATGATCTTAGCGTGTCTCCACTGCCTTGGCAACGTGCCTCCTTCTAGCGAGGCTTAGAACAGATCGAGAACCCTGTCCTTGCCTGTGGGCCACGTCATCTTCCAGACTATCACCGGCAGGCCGTCTTCGCCAGGCGCTTTCTAAGACTTCGCCGCTAACAGTTGCCGCTCTACCTCTTCCATTGTGATCGCTAGCATATCTACTAGTGCTCTTTCTGGTCTCGTCCCTTTATCGTCAATAATCTCCGGCAGAGGCGGGAAGAATGTAGTCAGCAATTCTTCTGCTTGCCCCTTGTGATCGGTGGTGGTCGTTCCGTCTGCTTTCAGGAGCTGCGGGACCTTTCCAAACGCTGCGTCGTCTCCTGACTTCAGGTATTTAGCGGCTTTCTATATATTATCGTTGTCTGCGAGGAATTCATTCTAGTGCTTTTTCTTTTGTTACCGGATAGCATCGTGGTATTGCTTCGCTGCGCCTTGGGCTATATCTTCTAGACGGGGTACCTTTCGCCCCGCCCGTCGCTCCGAGCGGGCGTGATTCCTCTAGTATATATATATTTGACGGAGCTATGTCAAGTCGTCCGTCTACCATCGCTTTGCGTATAGTGACGGCCTGGCCTTCGGGGTCAAGGCATGCACCGCTTCCCAGACCGCGGACATGAGTCGATCGGTTTTCTGCTGCACGGTGCCCTCTAGCGGAGTGGCGGCTAGGGTGTTCGCAATCCTAACATTGATCTCTTTCCATAGAGCGTTTTTGAGCAGGAGTCGTTCCGGGTGTTTTGGGGGCGACCATAAGGTATCGAATACTGTCTCAATAGTGCAGTGATCCGACCCGTGCTCTGTCCCAAGTATAGCACACTTAACTATTAAGTCTGTTAGGTTTTCCGAGGCCAGGACGAGGTCGATCGTGGACTCGCAATCCCCATTCTGTCCTACGCTATGCTATGTCTTTGTGCCTCGTTTGAGTAGACTGCTGAGTACAAATTCATTCATAAAGTCGATAATTAGGTCCGCTTCACCTTGTCTTACTCAAGAAACGTCGTCTCCTCCCTAGAGTTGATCATAGCGGTTAAAATCTCCCACGATTATGATCTCCAACGCTATACCTGTGTCCCGCTGTATCTCTGTGATCGCTTTGCGTAGGTAATCGCATATTTCGAGCAATACCGCGGCATCCCCTCCCTCCACGTAGACTAATACTATAAATATCAGGCGCTCAGGGAGGCGGATGACCGCCGCGGTCAGATCCGGCGACTCGATCGACAGTTGCTCCGCTTCTACATCCCTATTAATCCAAAGTATACTTCGGATCGCCCACCTACCTTCCCTCCAGGTAGAGGGAACCATCTTTGTCCATTTGTGATGTCCCATCGGGGTAGTTAAGAGCCGGCCTTGAATCCTCCTCGCTTAGGGTTCTTGAATCGCTAACACCACCGCGTTCTTAGTCTCTTCGTCATTTATTAAGCTCTCGAGAACTGCACCCTGTTTCCTCACGTTCAGTTGAATTACTCGAAGAGTTTTATTCATAATATGATGGATAGAGCTTCCGACAGTTTTTGCTATACGATTCGTGTGGGCCTCCGCACGGAACGCATTTAAAGATCGAGCTGTCACAGTTGCTATGACGATGGCCTTCCGTGGCACATTTTGCACACTTCTGGGCGTTCTTGCATTGGAAAGCCTTATAGCCAATCTCCTGGCAATTGTAGCATTGTGTCGGTCGTGGTCGATATTCAAAGACGCTAGTCACGCCAGATTCCCCCTAGCGTGAAAGAATCCATCGGCCAGGAGCCTCCTTGCATCAGAGCCTTTAGTAAGGTATACGACCATTGATCCATAGGCCTTCGCGCTCTCCTTTTTGCTGAGCCATGCGATCTTAGCAACGGTGGTTTCATTTTCCTCGCTGAGGGCTGCCATGGCTCCCGTCCGGATCTCATCGTTTTCGTCTAGTACTGCAGCCCTGTTGACGCTGTCGACTTTGATCGGGTAAAGCTCGTCACGAAGCACCCGGGCTCCTGCGCCGATCTTCGCTTCCGCCACTTTCTTGACCAGCTGGTGTTCAGCTTCATCGCGGCACGCTATCCTAATTCGGTTTATATTCTTCGGGTCTACTGTGACAGCTCGGCAGCGCCAGTGCGTGTGGTTTTCCATCGTCCGGATCTCTGTCTCAACCGCCGCCCTGATTGGGCCTGCGGAGATCCTCTCGTTATCCGAGTCTGCCATCTTCGAGGTGTCTATGGTGCAATATAACGTGTCGGTGAAGGTAGTAGGCCTCGTGTTCCACGATGAGAGAGTCCGTATGTTACTCGGGTGACTGGTCGGAGGAGTGCGGGCAACATCTGCATAGGAAGGGGAGCCAGTAGGAACGGAAGGGCTGATGGCATCGCGTAGGGATTGAATCTCGCGGAGGACCTCATCGTGGTTAGCTCATCTGAGCTGTGTGGAAGATGGCTGAAGCGTAACCATATTATAACTAAGACCGTTAACATACCACCCGCCCAACAATCTCTTAAACTTTGTTCATCGCGGACAAGAAGTCTGGGACGGGCCGAGTATTTGACAATTAATCGCATCTAAGACAAGATAGCAACACCAAATCGACGCAATCTCGGGCGCCTGGGGTTACATGGAATATTAGCATAGAACATGCTAGGTTCCAGAGCAATGATCATACCGCTTGTCTTGTAAGGGGGGAAGTTGCCCGCGCTGTTCCTTCCTGTCACATCATCATATATGGCAGAGCGCAAAGCGAAGCCGCTTTCCGAATGGTCCAAGGAGAAAGATTTTCCACCCTCTCATACGGCCCCGGCGATACTCGAATAGACGGCACTACGTAAAAAGCTCGATCTTCCTTCAATGCAATCATGGCATAATATGTCGATGTGGGCGACAGACCGGTAAAGTGGCACATTCGGTGTGTCTGGCGAGTGAACTGATGGCGGCAGCCACAGGGCACCACTTCGCTAGGGAGGGCTGTAACAGAGGTTGGCCGGTTGTTCCCTGGATGATTGATGACCACTTACCTGCTTTATCGTGGAGAAGCGCCGTCTCAGCGTTTGCGCAATTGTCATCAGTTTTCTAGGCCTCATACTAAATTCAACCAGTAGATTCACTAGGTACAGGGCGCAACCCAGAAACTACGCTTAATTTTCATGATAACAGCACGCTCCTGCGTTATATACACTTCGCTTTCCCTAAAGAAACCAAAGTCTCGTAAGGATGAGATGAACCTGTTCATTTATTTAGTTAGTATTGGTTTGACAGCATTGAGGGCTTGAAAAATCAAAAATTGGCAGGAGCACCCATTCGTCTGAAGAGGACCGTACCTTTCATTGTCCGCACTGACCTCCACTAAGACGGAAGAGGTTCTCTGATCGCACAACCAGCAATAATGAACCACCGAGCTCAGGAAGAGTGCCAGATTATCCAAGCCATTGAAATCGACGTCTCCGATAAAGAACCGGAAGCCCCTATCCCAGTCCTCCACCTTGCCCCGCAGCCTACCATGACGATCTTCAAGGACCCAGAAAATCTCGAGAAAAGCAACAGGTGTCGAGCCCCAGTATGCTAGTACAGGAAAAGATGATTTGCTTGACATGCAAGTCTTGAGATTTTCGCTCTGGACTTCTAAAGAATTGCTCTGGATAAAGCTTGTGTGGGTTGGCGACTGGTTCATCCATCGGTGAAGCAACTTCAAATCATTCATAAGTTCAGGGTCAAGGCATAGGTTCGGACCACTCCATTCACTTGGCTGTGTCGTGGAATATGACCTCATTGAGCTTTCCATCGGGATTAGAGGTATGCGGAACGTCATGTTCCGACCACCGCTGGGAATAAACCTCGTGTAAAACACCTCTCCTTGCCGTGGAGCTCTTGGGCGGATTGGATGTCGAATGCTGTCAGTAAAATTATACTGAAGTGGGATGGCAGGGTAATATGAGGGTATGAAGGTCCCAGAAGTGTTGGGCCCAGCGCCAAAGGGGAACCCTCTTCCAAAAGCATCCAATGATGGAAGAGAAGCACATTCCTCTTTATCACTGACTGGAAAGCGGCGCGGATCCAAGGTAAACAAATAGATCCCGGGATCCAACTGCCAGAAGGCTCTTTGACTGATGAACATCTCGAAAAAGGTCTCTGGGCTCTCTTGCGAACCCACTGAAGGATCAGCAGTCGCGATTAAGCCCATCCTCTCGAGTTTCTGCATCCGGTCTTTCCCACTAAGAATGCCGTCTCCTTTTACCCTTAGCCTCCACTCTCCTCCTGTATCTGTGGCGAATCCAGGCAGTTCATTTCCATTCGACGTGGGCACATGCCTGTCTGGTGGAGGCTCTTGGAAATACCAGAGAAAAGTGGCAAATAAAATCATAGCCACTTGTCTAGTAACGGCGCTTTCAGGTTTTGCGTCGTTAATTGACGGTGTCGACATTGAAGAAAGGTGTAGCACATCGCTGAGGAGAGTCGGTCTCGTAAAGGACGAGACAGGATCGATTAGTAACTGGCCATCACCGTCAATTGACGTCTTTCCTTTACCCGAGTTCTCGGTATAAAGAGATATCGACCACCTAGGTGGAAAAGAGCCGTGCAAGCTGTGTTCATCGACTATAAATGTAAACCCCCTAAAGGACGGTTTGACGTTGATCTGCTGCCCGTTAGGCAAGGAGTACTTATTGTACTTCATTAGGAATCCAAGGGCGATTTGGATCCAGACAGCTGCACATGCTATGTTTTGGAGTTCCATTAAAAGTGGCAATGGCGACGAAGAGTGTATACGTCAGACGATCAGGTGAAGTGGGGTATATCTAGGCCTTAGCCGATCACCTGCCCACTGAATCCCAATCCACGGCTTGTGCCGGGCCTTGTCAGCATTGCCGAGGTCTGTCATTGACCTGACTGGAATCTATGTTTAACAAACCTGACCCAAGATTTAAAGGGGTATCCGAAATGCTAAACACAAAAGACATGGTAAAAGGAAGGTCTATCATTTCCGCTAATTGCCCTATCTTGCTTGAGTTCCTCCCCAGCTAAAATCTTTGCGAAGCTCAACGAGCGGGAAAGGAGCATGTCTAGCACCGCGTCCACACCACGTCCTCCTGTTCCACGCTGAACATCGCGTTCGATCGACCTACCACAAGTTCTAGACTGATTCGACAGGCACTAGTGGCCTCTAGTTCAAGATGAAAAATATGCTTGGCGCCGATGAAATAGAGAACTTCCTCCCTCTTGGGCAGATCAGAAACCAGAACAGCCATAAATCGAGCCTTGGATAGTCCAGCAGGCAGTAATGAACTCATGGTCCGAGTCGCAATGAGACTGACGATGCTCAAAATCGAGCGAATTGTACCGTAAGGAATTGAAGTAACTAAAAAAGTGGTCAGGGAACTGCAAAAGGTAATCGCTTATCCTAAAGAGCGCGCCCGGTCACTGTCGGTGAACGCACCCACAATACTACCCGGCGCGCAGGTCAGTATCCTATGAGAAGCTGGTATCTATTTTCTCGCAGTTGTTATCCACGTCATGTAATACGTAGTGAGGGTCGGACTTGTCCTCGCTATCTTGCGGACTACTGGTGATATTTTTGTACGCTCGAGAAGAAAGCATCACGAACCTTTGCCGGGCCACGCACTTGTTAAACAACATAACTAGAGCCCAGCGAGAGGGCGAATAATGGCTCCTATTAAATTGAAAGACGCTAAGACAGAAAGTGTCTTTAAAGTTCCGGGGAGTGTAACGTGAGGAAATTGCAAGAAAGTTTTAGGATGAGAACGGCGTCGCGGAGATTAAGATCATTGGTCAAGCAAAGGGAAAAATCGAGGGCTAGTGTCGTACCTTGCTAAGTTTGGCGAGAAAGATACTAATAATAGAATAGGTCGACATATAACGTAATTCCCGCCCGTCCGGATCACCCGCCCGTCCGGATCACCTACACCCATTCGAATATTTCAAAATCGATTATCTCAACCAAAATCTATCAATTTAACTAGATATAGCGATTTTTACATACATTGATCCTGTGACCAATCTCCCTGCACCCACTACACCTAGGCGGAGCCCTAGCTGCTGGCCTAGTTGGCTGACTAGGTAATTCGACCTCTGCATGCGAATCTACCCCATCGTCTTCCTCTGGCTGGTTTAGCTGCTCAGCTAGCTGTATAGCCTCTTCAATGGTTAAACCCTCTGCGCAGGGTATCCTTCTAGTTGACCGATTGCGCTTTTTGACCATCTTCTCATTCGCCATGCGTAGATTCGTGACATCCTCTGCTAGTAAAGCACCGCCGTGTAGCGCTAGAGCGCATCCCTTGATTATCTGGTCTAACATCTCTTTTGATGGGCTCGGAGGGCTATTTGACCGCCGCTTTAGTAGATCTTTTAATATAGAAGCTTGCTTAAATAGCTGAGCGGCTGTTCTAGGCGTTTGTGGTGTAAATTGGCTAGATCTGCTGCTTAGCCGGCTGCTTGGTGGTGTTGGAGTTCGTAGAGAGATATTAAGCTTGTTAAGCACTCTCTTAGTATCTAATAGTACTAGACCACTAGCTGCGAAGCTGTTTTTGATAGTAGGATTGGTTGATTGGAACGCTTCTAGGCGCGCGTTCTGGTAATCCACTAAGAAATCGTGCTTGTCGATATGGTTATATCCTCTGCGCGCAAGATCGCTAACGAAGCGACCGTACGCGCGCTTAACTACTGCAAAACACCCAACATCTAGTGGCTGTAGTAGATGCGATGAATGCGCAGGTATACAAAGTGGTATAATATCGTTTTCGGCACAGATTCGGTCGAATTGGGGCGTAAGGTGGCTACTATGGCCGTCAAGAATTAATAGCTGAAATCGACCTCGTACACGCGAATTCGTGTGTGGGATAAAGTGCTTTTCTAGCTAGCGTAGACTAATCTTATCGGTAGTCTAGTTATTCTTTGAGACCTGGATTCGCTAGTCTTTCGGTAGGTTTTCGTTAAACTATCCTGTAATAGCCACTTTGCCTTTGAAGACTATACATGGCGGTAGTGAATAGCTATCTGCGTAGATTGCTTCGATCGTAGTAACCTATTCGCGATTTCCTGGTTGTAGAAGAGATCTCCGACCGTAGTATTTAGCCCTTGTGACTACTTTCTGCGAAGATATAAGGCCCATTGCGAAGCCTGTCTTATTAAAGTTGTAGATATCCTCTGGTTGTATACCGTTCTCGTTAATCACACTTTGTACGGTCGCGAACTACTGCCGAATCGATTTCGGATCTTCGTTTAGGGCTCTTTGGTAATCGTATCTTCGCGAGAAGCGTGTACGAAGCTTAGGGCGGCGGTTAATGAAGGATGAGGGCTAATTCTTGCCGATAGTAGGTGGTGGTAGGTTACCACGCGTAGCTAGTAGGATATTAGCTATTTCTCCTATAGTTACTGGCCTAGGCGCTGCTCCACGTGAATCTATAGAGATTATCCACTCAGTAAGTGAATCCTCTTCTAATTGGGTTAATTTATGGCCTGTTGGGCGCTTATCCACGCGTGACATTCGACCTTTAGTACGCGCATGAAGAGTAGTGTAGGGTAGCTCATATAGCTTTGCTGTTGCGCGAATTGAATTGATGCGGCCCTCTTTCAAATCAGAAAGGGCTAATAAGATCTTGCCCTCTTGACTTGCAGCTTTCTGCCGGGATTCAGGGCGAATTGGTGTCATGGTAGGTGGTTGAAGTTGGTAGGTAGGTAGGAATACGCGATTTTGGAGGTGGTGATCCGGACGGGCGGGTGATCCGGACGGGCGGGAATTACGTTACTATCACTCAACTTACTAAGCTTTCTGCGTGACTATTTACTTGGCTTTGCTTGTGAGAGAATGTCCTCCCTAAGTCCAGAACAATTAAGCCCTGTCATGAATCATGCCTATGAGAGTCTGATACAAGATACACTAGTACCCTTCATCCGAAGTGTTTATTCTGTGAACAATAAGCATACATACTCAAACTATGATCCAAATACGACTAAGTTTTACTCGAATTTTGACCAGGTATTTTCTCGGACAGCAACTTCCCCCGAGGAAACAAATTGGTGCGGCGAATCCACATTAACGTTAATAATGCAAGTTCTAAATCGAGCCTATAGGTCTCCTGTTGGTGAGCTTAGCGCGGAATGTGTTCAGCAGACCCAGTATCCACGAGGTTTCAGAGTGAAATCGCGGTTCTGGAATTGTTTTAAGAAGAGAAAATCCAGGATGCGAATGAATTTTCTTAAACGTTATGGTTCGTAAAACAGGGCTGTATTGATTGTTTATGAGACATGACTTATTCTATGGCGTTTTTCACTACCCCCTGTCTCTAGTGAGGAGTATGCTTTTTTATCCAAGAGCTTTCTATGTCATGTTCCCAAAGATAGCCCCCGAACGGGACTGTCTGAAATTTTCCCGCCGTCACTCGTCACCCTGTAGCTATTAACACATCGTTGAGGCCTTGCCATACCCACCTCAGTAAACGTGGGTGGGTTGATGGTGCTCCTTGTCTCGATAACCCATTTCATCTAAATTAGGTAGGGAGGGGCCCAATTGGTACGGCATGATGCAGTGGCTTTCATAGTCACTGGAGTTAAGCTTTGAGTGAAGCTGTATCACTTCATAATGTATTTAGTACAAACGAGACGGGTAATCTTTTCAATGAAGATGCATTCCTGGAATTTAATCGTGATCCTTGGAAATATTATTAAATTAACTGGGCTAGCCTGATTTGATTCGTGGCTGGTAGCGAATGAGAGATGTGATGAGAATCAAATTCATGGAGACAAGAAAGTTAACTGGTGACGCGCGCTCCGCAAGCTCCGCACGCCGATGGCCCCTGAAACAAAGTGAAAAGATCGGACATAGCTGTTAAAAATATGAGTATGGAAGTGATATTAGACAATACGGTGAGAAAAGGCCATGAATGTTTGTAGAGTCATTTGATTGGTCACGGGCGTACATGAAGTGCGACAGATGATATGTTCTATTCGGGACAGTTGAGTGAGAGCCCCTTGCGTCGGGCCCACGATATTCCGTGCAGGACATCGCACACAAATATCGCTTGGGTATCCCCTCCCTCGAAAAGGAACATCGCCGTTTCGAGGGAGAGCCGGGCTCCCTCTGCGACGGTTTCTTCCAAGAATTCCTTTGCAATGGTGCGTCATAGCTCGGAGGCCCCCAGTCCTACTCCTGGGGGACAGACCAGCTTGGGCTCCTCGATCTATCCACCAGAATATATATGGAATTCCCTCTCGGATACCCAACGGGACTCGTTCATGTCCACTGTGTCAGCGTCCCTGGCCACGGGCGATGGACCGCGCAAGCGCCCACGTATAGATCTCACTACGGAGGAGGATGCCGACCATGGTAGGGTCCCGTCTCTTGTTTTGCCTATCCTCCCCCGCTTCCCTGGCCTCGACCGTGCTGCAATCATAGCCATCTTCGAGCACACCTTCCGCCCAAAGAAGGACCTTATAAAACTGCGTAGCCCCGAGTTTAAAGTCTCGGCACTGGATGGCGAGTCTTTCGACTTAAAATCTACTTTATCTGGCCTGCAATTCCGTAAGGTGATCTTAATCAAGGATTGGGGAAACGACGCATCCCTCTGGGCCCATTGCTTCAGCAACTACGTCGCTATCTGGTGTGAATTCTTCGCTGCAAAGCACCCGGTATGCATCAGTGGGATGGTCCTCTTCCACCGTCGTATTTGTGACCTTGCTAGGGCATATAAATGGCAGGATTGTATCCTGCAAATGGCCCTAGACCACCACCAGATGGTTGTCGATAAAGGCGACCTTACCGTTTCTCTTAGTGACTAGGAGATTGGGAAAGCCCTCGAAAGCTCCTACCTACGCCCAGATAACGTACTCCTAGCGAAGACGGCACTGACTACTCCAACCACTCGGTCAAAGCGCTCTACCGCTGCCCCAAACTAGTCTTCCGCACGACCCAGCGGGACCCAGACCCAGCCCGGACCCGACCCAGCGTTGGGCTGGGTCTGGGTCCAAAATCCTGACCCAGTGCTGGGTTCTGGGTCACTGCTATCAACCCAGACCCAGCACTAGGTACCCATTGGGGCCCCAATTATAGTATAAACAGTGCAAACACTCATTACACAACTTATGCAATCACCCATAGTATTTTTAAGTATTTATGTTATACTTGCTTCTTAAATTCTGAGAGTTATCATAGTTCTAGCCCTCGGTACTTAGTATAATTAGATGCTTATAGGTAAAACTAAGATAAGAAATCAAAAATATAATACACTTAACTAGCTATCTAATAATACTCGAAGATATCATTATCTTGTTGTTTACGCTTCCCACTCCTTGATAGCCGGAGCTGTATACTAACCTCCGGCAATTGAGGCTTAATCGTTTTATCCTTAGGACCACTAAGCTCCTCTCTCTCTCTATCTAATTCGTCTCTATACTCTTCAGTGTCACTAATTAGGTCTAAGCCTATCTCATGTCCCATAATTCCTATCCAGGGACACGAATACGCGCCTTGAATAGGAGCTCGTTGAAAATCGGGATGAAGCCGGCGAGTGTCAGTTTAGGTTTTCTTACCATTAGTTTTCTGAAGTATCACAGCTCGAAGTACCAAAAATGGCGCTGGTATGTCATAACTAATAGATATTTTGACCCCAAGACTGTCACGGGTTAGACCCGCCCGCTTCTTACTATATGGCCCTGCCATATAGTCGAGATTGCCTTGCCTTTGGCATTATTGTGTCGCGTAAGTCTGAACATACGTGAGCTAGCATTGTGCTCAATTTATATGAAGTTGCCCTTCATAAAGGGCTTCCTACAATGTAACGCGCAGTCCTTGCGCTCTCTCGGTGTTCATAATGTCGAAGTCAGTGACCAGAGAAAGCTTACCCCTTTAACCCCATTACGTGTTGGTGACATAATCGGGTTGACAATAACTACTGTTGTGGGGCTGTCAGTTCTTTTCTGGGCCTGTAGTATTGAGATACAGAAACTTCGACAACAAATCATTCATTAAAATATGACGGAAGGCTGGCCAGAGAGCCTAAACTGACGGAGAAGGATATTTCAGCTGTGACTTCATCTGATCGTGATGCTATTATGGTGTGACCAGTTCATGAGCCGTCCTGTCCCATCTAGCGGCCTTAGGACCAGCGTAATCATATATCAGTCCTCTCATCAAATTCCCTATCTTTGCGTTCGCAAAATCAATCTTCGCAAAGGATAGTTTTGAGATCCTCATCACTAATTTCTAGATCCCAGCCGGGGTAGAACAACCCAATCAATCCAAAAGTTGAATCTTCTTGCGGATTTCCAACTAGTGCGAGTTTTTGAAACCCAAAGAACGGCAGACCGTACCAGAGAGGTTTACCGTTCGTATCGAACCCTCTCCAATTCCCTTCATGAGCAGTCACTTCTCCACCATTCCTATCGTGATAGCTTCTGGAATTGAAGCCATGACAGATAGCACTAGGAACATGCAGAACATTTTCTAGTACCAGGACCCCATTTCGTGACCCTTCGTCACTGCTGGTGCACACTTTCAGCTTCACAGTTCCAACCCCAGCCACGTAGGTGTCTCTAAGGCCAGAGAAGATCGTTCTAGTCCTGATCATCTTCTCAATAGGACGGTAAGTCTTGAATGAGGAACGGTCTTTCGTATAATGGCAGTTTCCAGAAACGACCATCCAGTCCCAACCGCGAGGGTATGGGCGATTCTCTTGCTCTCTCTCCTCGCGCGAAAGTTTTTTTTTACCCATAATGATGATTATGGCGTTAAATTGGCCTCTCAAAGGGTAAAATGCAAATAGTTGGAGAAGCGGAGGTTACAATCAGAACTAGAGAAAAAGGTAGGAGGTTAGCTAGACTGCTTGCTGAGCGAGGGTATCGCCTGACCAAAGAAAACATTCTCCCTTTATATATCTTTGATCGAACCGAAGCTCGCCGCTGTCAACTCAGGAGGACAAAAGCGGAATGAGGGGACATATGGAGAAACGAAATCTACCTGATGTTGTGTTCAATCCAGAATAATACGGAATACACTCACTCTCGTTGCGGGTCTCTCCTATCATGTCACCGTCCGGAAAGGCGCCATAGGAAATCAAACCAAAAAAACTCACTAGTGCCCTCCGAATACGAGCGTAGATGCGGGAGTGGATCGCTCCTATTAGAAATGTGACGATCCGCAATCTCGGGTGGAGCTAAGCTCGTGATCAGAACCCTTTCTACGGAGTAAAATTCAGTCTCTGTGTTAAGAATCAAAGGCCTTGTCGCTCTGTCTCATTCCCGCTTTCCCATTTTCCCATGGGGACAGCTGCTGGTTGACGGCAATGGATGGGGGCGTAATGCCCTAATTCGCTGGTGGCTTGTACTAGTCACTGGTGTTGGTCTTGGTTTTGCTGCAAAGGCAAAGAGCTCTTTGTAGAGCTTCTTCCGAAAATCTAGTTGACTAGGTAGATCACTACTGCTAGCCCCTGCTGCTTTTTAGAGATATATTGAATGCGATAGGCATTAACAATTTCAGCGTCGATAAAGAAGAAAAAAATAGGAAACCATACACGATCAGTCTTTCGATGGATCTCATAAGAAGCCCGATACTGATTTGCAATATCTACACTACCCATATAGTGATTATAGTCATTGATAGCAGTGGGAACCTCAAGCTTTTTGATAACCTCATCACCAAAAGGGGCACGCGCAATAGCTGCATTCGTAGATGTTGGCGATGGCCGCTTTCGGTTAGTAGTGGTAAACATCTCTGGCGAATGGATAGTGGATAGTAGTAATACTATATTATTATCCTGCCACGCGAGACATAAAACCCCCTGAGCTTCAGATGCATATAAGCTACCCCATGGTATAGTTTTGATGTGATCCTTTAGCTCAACAAGCTGGGAAGGCATCCCATTTTGAGCGCGTGTAGTACCACATGCTCCACATGGATACTGCGTAGCTCTGTAAAAAGAGCAACTGAGGTGAAGTAATTATCCATGTAGATAATATAATACAGGGTGCTAGTGTAGGCAGGACAGCCATCGTATTGGTGGGCATCGCATGCAGGGTGGGCATATAGGCCATGACATTAGCAGGATTGCCTATGCGATCGGCTAGCCCAGGAAGCTTCTTGATCATATCTAGTACCATCGATGCCGTAGGGCTAAGGCTAGGGTATTTGAACATCTCTATAATCCCCCATTGACGGCTAGACCATCTAAAGGTCCATATATAGCCATGTTCTGCGAGAGCAAAGATCTTATATCCCTGGTGGATTGGCTTGCTAGGCATCTTGACAGTATGCATTGTAAGCCACCACAGGGAAAGCGCTAGCCCGGGTACCCCTAGGAGAGCCAACCAACCTTACGATAGGCTGCTCTACAGAAGTTTATTCCTGTGGTCTATCCAAGTAAATAGTTCTGTGTACAGTAGAGGTTCCTATCGAGGGCGAATATTATCAGTGACCTATAGGGTAATAGCCTAGGCCATATAGGCTGGGGCGCTATGTAGCAAGGTCCATATAGACCCACATCTAGGGCTAGCCTAGAGTGCCATCTACAGTGGTGTATCATAAGTTTGAAACCCTTTTCTGCCGTGCCATGATGCCAAGACTTTTCTGCCAGTTCAATTCAAGTAAGGAGAGAATATAGAAATATATACATAAACCCCTAATATTTTGTGTACCACCCTTCTGCATCAAGAATAGCCTGCACCCTACGCGGCATAGAGTGTGACAAGTTTTCTAGGATACTAAGATCTAGTAGATCCCACGCTTCCTGCGCCTTGCGTATTAATAACGCGTGCGTCGTGTCGTTATTTGGCATATTTTTTAACTCCGGACATATCTTATATATCTTGTCTTTCAGGAGGGTCCATAGGTTTTCAATAGGATTTAGATCTGGCGATTTTGCAGGCCAGTCCATCACCTGAATCCCCATCTCCGCTAAGGCCTCGCGCACAATATATGCAGTGAGTGTTGATGCGTTATCTTGCTGGAAAATACTATCACGATGTAGCATTAACGTCGGTAAAACACGCGTGTAAAGATCACGAATAACGAAGCGATTCACCCCGCCACGACCTCGTGTAGGATCTCCGAATAGTGGGATTAAACCGGTACGTCGTGTAGACCATGAAAAGGCAGCCCAAAACATCTGCTTAACCTGCTTTCCTGGCGTCGGCAATCCACGTACGTCGCGTTTTTCAATTTGTTTTGACCTCGGTGTAAAGGTATATTCACGACGTTCACCAATCCCACGTTCGACTGTACACTCATCAGACCAAAAAACACGATCCCAATCTTCAGGTGTATAACCAGAGTAAGTTCGTGCCCATTCAAGTCGTGCGGTAGCGTGCCTTGGTGTAAGGCCAGCTATGCCGACTAAAAGACCAACACGAATGGATGGCAGAGAGGCAAGCAGGCTCCCGGCCGTGGTCGCAGCCGAGGTGGTTCCGTAGGCTCCGGCAGCCAGAGACGCAATGACGACATTGTGCTCTCCCACGCGACCCCACGTATAAACGTTCGCGTCGGTTTGGTGTCTAGTGAAGCCGGTTGGAGTTGCATGTTCCTCATCCAGCATCGCTTCTACAGCGGCCCGCTCGATGGGAAGAGTAGCGATCCAGGCGATCGCATAGGAGTCCGGGTTGTTGAGAGCGTTATGGGATGCCATGGTGCGGAGGGAAGCGCACGGGGCTATTAGATGGACACGCAGGAGTTGAGTTACACGCAGACAGAAGAGGCGGCGTGACAGCGGTATAACTAATTATTATTGCTTATCACTATTAGTCAAAGGATACAATCTCGTCAGTTGCTAACAGGACCCAGCGCTATCACCTAATTAGTGTGCCCTCCAGATGCTTATTGCATTCCACTGCGCAAGGACGAAGGTAAGCTGAAAAGGATATGTGTGGTGTGGTACAGATGCACGTTGGGGGCCGTGGCGCTGTGGGCGCTTACAAAGTCTCTAAGTTATGGTAGTGTCATTCATACTAACCTTTGGTGGACTGGGACAGTATTCCGATGCCTTTGTTCAGCGCTCTTGGATCCAAAACTCGACATATATTTGTCAGTAAAACGGATCTTGTTGCCTAACAGCGTTGAAACATTCGAGGAAGAGCGCTTACCTCAACCCGACTTCCACGCTCCTTCCCACCCTTAAGACAAGGCTGTGGAGTGCTGTTTCAAGTTTGCAGTTCATTTTCCGAATCACAATTGAAAGCATGGTGGCGAAGAATCAAGTGACAGGGCTCTATTTCGCAGGAGGGTTCCCGGACATTCCATCAAGATGTTCTAGAGGACTCTATCAAGGAACGGTACCAATAGTTCTAGTTGCCGGGTCCGATTCTTCTTCTTCTTCTTCTCCTCCTTCTCCTCCTCCAGGTAATTGTCAATTGCATGTGGCCTGGTACAATTGAATCAATTCTGGTATAGCCATAGCCCTCCACAAAAATTACAGCCAGACCCAGGTGCATGTATGCATAAGCAAATCAAATCTATGGTACTAGAGCAACAAGATTGACAGGAAAAATGGGACAGCAAGCTAGACACACAAGAAGCTGCAAAAAGATGCGTAAACAGAGCGCCAGCCAAAACTACAAGATCAAGGCAAAGGAAAACAAAACTTCAAGAAGGGTCAGGCCACACCCAGTCACAGGCCAAGAAAGACACGCCCGGCGACACTGTGTCTGTCATGTTAATTATGAAGCGAACGACAAGATAGTTCCCTGTCCCAAACCTTACAAATCAATGGCTGTCTACATCTTTCTTCTTGCCTTTTACCTGGTTCTTTGATCCGGCATCGGGGACAGCGCTATTGAAAAGAGATTGAATGCTTGCATCCGCCATATTGCCCAATGCTTGAAGTGAATTATCACCTGACTTGATGCGTTTGGCGGATATGAGATCGTCGAGAGTAGTGACAATGGCTTGTCGGCTATTATCACCTGTGGTGACATCTTCAAAGTAGTGAGTTCGTAGTCGATTTGCTTCTTCTTCTTCGATCCGCTTGCACAAATTGAGCAGTCTTTCTGTGCCGCTCAATTCTTCTCTGAAACTTTGCTCCTCGTATTCTCGCTCGTTGTTCAAGTAAGGCAGGTAGCGCTGTTGTCCTTGAACAATTCGATCAACTCCATATAGATGCTGCAACAGGCGTAACTTCCAGCTCGTGATTTCCTTGCTGGTAGAATTGAGTCCCTCCGCATTGATCAACCACGAATAATGATGTTTGCGGTAGGATGATGCTTTATCAAAGAGCCCCGAGGAATTGGCCACTTCACCCACTAAAGTTGGCCGCGACTGGTCGACCAGAGAGAGAAATTGTTCACAGATTTCGAGACTCTTCTGTGTGCTACTCTTCTCGTCCTCCATTAATTGGAGCTCAACTGTGTCGAGACCAGCTATCACGGGGCCTTGAGCGCACGCGATTTGTAGTTTCTCTTGAATATCTTGCAAGTGATTTTCCAGGTCACATCTCGTATTTTCAATTAGATTTTTATATTCCTCCAAAACAGCTCTTGTAGTCTTTGTGGTGCGTCTGTTGAAAATATGTTAGACCAGCGAAGAGAAAGACGACAATAACTTACAGATTCGCATATGCAAGTGCAATAGAAATAGTTGACTTGTAACTAGACAACATGTCCTTGAATTTGGTAATGTCCCCACCCATGTATCTCAACCTTAGCCAATCTCTTTTGCTGTTCTGCTCTTGGGTGGAATGCGATGTGCATTTCATGATCAGAGCATTGAATTCACCACAGGCTTTATTGAATCGCTTAAGGGGCTGCTCAAGCACTGTGAGATCGACTTCAAATCATGGAAAAGCTACACTCTAGCAAAATCAACAAGCCTTTCCGGCTCGGCAATGAGAAGAGTGTGAGACATATCCTGGCTAAGTTCTCTCTGTGGGCCAGTGCTAGACCGAAGAGGAGTCTCCGGTTTACAGAGCAGAAATCGCCGTGCGGCAATGGAAAGCTGCTGAAAATGCGTCAGACCGCCTCTGAGACTGCATTTGTTCTTAGCATCATCTCGAAGAAAGCTCTGCATACCTTCATTAAATTACCAGCCGACATGTCGCTGACTCTAAGTAAGGGTTTCCACAACGCGCCACTAATATACAATGATCACCTGGTAAAGCCATGTCCACAGGTTACAGGCCTTTGGACCGGCTTTGAAGCGGCTGGAAAGGTACTCAAAACACTTAGTCAAGCTCTATTCGGCCCCTAAATATTGTCTGACGCATCGATACAGGAACTCAAAGACAGCTTGCATGACAGCGTCACGGGGCTATATAGTCAACCACTATATAGCCTCAAGCACGGCGGTGCTAGAAAAATTCCCAGTGGTCTTGCTAAAGGTTTGGCTGGCCTTTTTATTAAGCCTTTAGCAAGTTGGTAACAAATGAGTTCCCCCCTCCCCCCCTGCTTTCGTTTGGACGTGACTGACATGCAAATAGGATTGGTTGGGGTGGCTGGGTATCCTCTGAATGGCCTACGCAAAGAGATCAATGCTTCCTTGAGCAAACCCGTGGATGCATATCTTGAGGCATCCCGGTTTGAACAAGGTCGCGAAGAGATGCATCTGTCTTCCACGGAGGAGAGAGTGGAAGTACTTGAAAATTGGATTCTGATCGAAGTGTTGCACGAGACAGATTGTAAACGACGGCAACGGAGTGTAGTGAAGATGCCGGGACTCAGTAACAAAAGCAGAGGTAGGCAATCAAGAGCCTAACGTACAAGGTCAGCGTTTATCACCATCTGTTGCGTTCATTGGTAGTGTTAGGTCTGACCAGAAGAGCAACCGGCGCTCAATTCACTTGGAAACTGCCAATACAGGAAGCGGTAGCTTACCACTTGACAGATGTACTGAATAGTGATCATGTAACCTTTGTTTTGGAGAGTAGCATGGTAGTGCCTTCCATAATGTCAAATTGCGCGTTCTGATATGATGTAGACACTGAACATTCATAGAACCATATTTGCATTCGATAAGGATACAGTAGTATCCAGTGTCAACTCTGAATGTGAGGCTGGGAACTTGAAAGTATTCTTTTTGGGGAGTAGGCCCTCGAACAGACCACTTGTGCCATCCTACCCACCCACAAGTCAACAGCCCTCGCCAGTGTAACAACAATGATCGCCACATCAGCGTACCTTGGGACGTTGCGGGCCGCGTTCACAATGAAAACTCCTCGCTCTTCCTAAGCAATGACCCACCCTCATCCTTCGTGATTCTAGAGCCAAAGTAATAATTCGCAGAGCACAAATGGGTAGACTGTGACAGCGCAAGGTGAGAGATTGGATGACGAAGGCTGGTTATCATTTGCCGCAGCGCATCAGCTACAAGACCGTCAGCAGCGCCGCGGGGCATTTTTCTGGCGGATAGGGAATATTGCTTTGCGCGATGAGGTGTCCAATAAGGCTGAGAATAGGGCCGCTCAAGGTTGTAGGTGGACAGAAGCGTGTCGCGTCATCCGCGTGCCATCAACGACGGTGGCGGTGCCAGGAATCTCCTCTGCCAAACCTTATGTCCGGAACGCGGTGCGATTGGTCACGGTTGTTGATTGCACGGCGGCTTGCTGCTTGAGATAGAGCGGTTTGGGTTGGCATGTCGATCAAGCATGCCTCATTCACGAACCCAGCCGAGTCCTCGGCCGGTGTTCCTCACGCGCTACTGCCGCTCGGCTAGGTAGTCATAGGCGGGGCGGTGCGACGAGCCCGGCGAGGTGAGCTGCATTGTCTCGATCACAGGGTCAATGGGATGCCGGATCCCTCGCGGTGGCATAGTGGGTATCTCGGACGAAGCGTACGGCTAGGTGTACTGGGTCGCTGACGGGTGGGTGCTCTTCCGGCTGCTGCGAGGTATCACTTCGACCAAACCCCAGGTTGCGTCGGACGGAAAACGACGGATGGTCGTCATCGATGAGGATCGATACAGTGTTCGTCCTGTTGTCGGGCATTTCATCTGGGCTCCGATGCTGTCACCAGAGCGCGAGGGCTCGACTAGAAAGGCAGAAGATCCCTGGCCAGTCCATTAGAGATTAAGTTTCCCCGCTAGGCCAGTTGGGGAGGAAGGGGTTGGTTATTACCTGAGGGGCCACGACATTGCCAGCGTGCTGAAGGGCGAGAAGGGGGGATAAGAGAGCCAATGGGGGCTCCCGTCCTACCCAGCCACATCGCCACATTGGGAGAGCGCAGCAAAACACGCTCAAAGCTCGTTTTGTCATCTGCCTCACGACCGGATCGAGCCTGCACTCTACCGTATTCAACCACCCGCCGTGGCACCAAACCCCAAGCAACGGCCTCGAAAATCACAGGGGCACTCGGGGCACTCGGGCAGGTCCTTACTCGCTATTAGAGCCAATCAAAAACAAGAAATCCGCTCTCTTCGCGAAACAGTACGCCTGCTCAATGTACTCGACCTGATTGGGCAGCGCCATCTCGTTGCCTGGAATACTGGTCAAATAGCCCACTCACTTCATCGAACATCACGCTAAACCGGAGTATCGAAGGGTGGGCCTCGACGAGAATGCTGGTCTACGCAGAGCGAATGAGAAGCGACGCCCGAAACGCCCACAGCCAAGTCGCTAGGTGTGTGTGTGTGTGTGTGTGTGTGTGTCAGTATTTTACGGCCGTGGGTTGTGTTTAGACACTGCCTACCAATTCCCTAGTGGGATAAAGGCCGCCAGGGGTTAAGCCCTGGGTGTCAAGAAGCTAGTTACAAAATGTGACTCTTTGGCGCTTTCCCATAGCCGCCGTGGTCAGATGAATGACCTGTGTCGTATACAGGCCTGACGTTGCTGCCAGCTGCAGTGGTCCGCCTACACCCCATGACCGAATCTAACCTGTTGGACACCGAAAGAACTTAAAAAAAGGAAGAGAAGAATAGAAAAGAAAAGGAAAATAAAGAAAAACAAATGAGATATGAAAAGAAGGTTGTTACAGCCGTTGGTTGGTTGGTTGGTTGGTTGGTTGGTTGGTTGGTTGATGTCATTTACCCCGACCCCTCGCTCTAAAGCGATATGCAGGATACAACAACTATATACTCGTGTACGTACATGTAGAGTGTTCTACTTCCTGAAAAACGAACTTAGAGCCTCGTTACGGCCTGCCGTGGCCTAACTGCCGTTCCCATTGTTAGGCTGCCCTCGTGGCGCGCGACTCCAAAACCGCTGTGACGCCTCGGCGAAGTCCAAAACGGCCTTGACCGTCTTCGCCCTTGAGACGGTGTCTGGTTTACCTTTCTTACCTTCGGTTGAGCCTCCCAGCAGGCTCGAGACGCTTCTGAACGCGTCCCCCACTTCCCTTCGTAACTCCCTTCGAATATCCCTTAAGGATGGGCAGTCCACAAGCACATGGGTAACAGTTTCCTGTGCACCGCACACGCAGTGGTCGTCGTCACGGAAGCCAAAACTCTTGGCGTAGGTAGATAACCAATTGTGGCCGGTACGTAGCTGCGTTAACAGGTACGCCCGGTTCCTGGGCAGGCTCCCATATAGCCTCCTCGTGTAGGTTGCTGGTAGAGTGCCGTCGATCTTCCGTAGGTGACTGCCTTTGCTGGACGATCTCCATTCCTGCTCCCACTGACTGAGGATATTGACGCGCAGGCGTGCACTCTCCCTCGAGAGTAGCGGGCGGAAGGAGTGGGTTTTGCCTGGGTACACGGCGTCTTTGGCTAGTCGATCTGCAGCGTCATTTCCAGGGTTATTGCAGTGCCCTGGCACCCATTGGAGACGGAGGGCAATCCCCTCAGCTTGGACCTCTGTGGCAGCTTGTAGGATCGTGTGCACGATTCGCTGGCCCGATTTGTTCCTCGGGTTCTGAGTTGCCTGTAGGGCTGATCTACTGTCGCATAGGATCGTTGCTGTTTTTTGTCTGTTGTCTAAGCTTGCCCGCTGATAGGCGATCTTGACCACCGTGCTGATGGCGTAGAAGATGCCAATGAGCTCCGCTACGTGAACCGACCATCGGTCCATTGGTCCCACCTGGACCTGTTGTGATTCGACAACCTGTAAATTGTCGTCGAGTGCCACTACGGCCGCTCCCAGATGACCCTCGCGTCCAGAAGCATCTGAGTAGACAACAATGTCCGACATAGATCGTACGGTTTCGGCACGTTCAATGGCCGTTTCTCGATCCGATCCAACCTCAATCTCCGCAAAGGGTTCAGCTCGCCACGGGGCCAGCGGGCTTGGGTCAATCGTTTCTAGTTCATCCAATCTTTGCAAGTCCATGGTCTTTAGGGCTTCCGCTAGTGGGAACCTGGCTACCGCTCCGCACGAATTTTCGAACTGTTCGAAATTCGCGAATTTCGACGAATCGAATCGAATTCGAACCTTGGTTTTCGAACTTCGAATCTGTACGCGATTCGATTCGTCAAAATTCGCGAATTTCGAACAGGTTCGCGAACTAATTTCTAGCTTTCTTAGCAGAAGCACGCCTTGGAGAGGAGTTTTTGAGGTGTCCGGCCCCGACAAAAAGACTTTAGCAAATGCATAATATCAACCGCATGTATTCCAAAAGAAACTATAACTGCGTAACTATTCAGACTTCCAACGTGCAGCATCTTTCAGCCTTATTAAGGTCCCAAGAGTCTTGCCTTTCATAGAGAAACGTCGAATTCCCAGTACATCTCTCCCGCCATTGAATAATCTCTCTATATCTACCTCCGCTGCTGGTATAGCAAGGTGATCTTGTGCTGCCTTGGCCATACAAGTAAATTCAAGCCTGTTAGCCTTCCACCAGTCCCGTATAAATTCAGTCTGGCTCTGGCTTGTTTCGAAACCAGTGCTGATTGTAGGAGTATCGAAATACTAGTCGATATCTGACTCAGCGACGTTACACTGCGTTAGCTGAAAGGCCTCCAAAAATCGATATTCGAAGCTCTTGTAATTGGTGCTTAGAGCAGTCGATGCAGGCTGTTCCGGGGTGTGATATGCTTTCTTCAGGAACGCCCTGATTCGGTCGATAATCTTGTCTCTATCTGGTAGCGTTTTGAGCCACTTAGTCTTGATTCGAGGATCCAGAATGCTTGCGATATAGTATATGTCGTTGTCTTTAACACAGTCGTGGTACCTCTCCAGGAGTGAGATTCCGTCGGAAACAGAAATGGTTATTGCTGCCGAGGTTTTCTGCCACTCGCCTCGTCGTTCCTTAATAGCGAGGAGTATAGAACGGAGCTCTTCAAACATACGCGCCGCCATATGAATTGAAGGACTGTCTCGAGAGACGTACTCAGTATATTCGTTGAAGGGAGTCAGGATTTTTTTGATATCTGAGAGTTGTCTCCAGTCGTTATGTGTGAGACGCAAGGCTTCAATATCTGGCTCGTCGTTGACTGTATCTTCGAGCTGCCGGCGACACTCTTCGGCTCTCTCAATCATAACAAAGGTAGAGTTCCATCGAGTGTCAACATCGTAATTAATAGCTTTTGTATAGCTAGGCCGATTATCCCACTTCTGTATTCGCTGGGGAGATCGCGCAATCCAAAGGACAAGTAGTCGAAGCTTTGCAATAGGCGAAGTAGGAGCATTGATAGTCTTCCAGCTTCCCTTAGCAACATCATCAAGAAGACCACAGGCTTCCTTATGCGAACTCGCGCGTAGAGACCTCAGTATAGATTTCATGACCAAATTCAAGATATGAGCAAAGCAGCGGATTTGGGAGTTCTGGGTAAACTTCATCATCCCTTCTCGGATGATAGTCTCAGCCAGGTACTTATCATACCGCTGAGACAGCTTTTGGTAGAGGCACCGGTGTAGGGTGTTATTATTAGATGCGTTGTCGGCTGTAATTGTCATCACTTTATCAGATATATGAAACCTGTCGAGAACCGTCGCGACGATATCAGCAAGCTTCTCTCCAGAGTGGTTGCCTTCGATTTCAACGAACTCAATACAGGCTCGATATTGCTGAAAATCAGGGGACATCCAGTGGGCATTAATTGCTAGCATTAGTAACGAGTTCTGACTTGTCCAACCATCAAGAGATAGCGCGATTGACGAAGCTAAAGACATCAAAATTCGAAGCTCACTGTCAAGAGCATCAAGCCGAAGACCTAATCGGCGGGACACTGTATCCGCACTCGGTAAGGAGTCCTGAAAGCCTGCGGACCTTAACATAGCCTTAAATAAAGGGTGTTCGACACATATAAACGGCTGGCAGGTCGATATAATCCAATTTAGGAGTGCCTCTTCGAAGGGGAGCTTCTTTTCCTTAGAAATCCATGAGCTTAGTGGTCCTTGGCCTTCTGAATAACCGTCCTGAAAGAGCTTGTGTGCTTGCTGCAGATGCTGTTTTAACGCTATAGTTGAAGATCGTAGTTTAGATGCAAATCGAAAGAATCGACAGGTAGATGGCGATACAATGCACAGGTGTTTAAGTTCGAGCCGCTCCTTATTTCCTAATCTCTAAGTGCTAGGTTCAGGTGTTGTACTGTAGTATTTCCATACCCAGCTCCGCTCCTTCGACTTAGTCTCATTATTCTGCTTGATTTCAACCCTCTCAACCTCGCATTCGACCTGAGATATTGATTGCGAAGGGCATATCTCCGTATCAAGGTTCGATAAACTCCTGGAAACATTGCTAGGAGCCGTAGGAGAAGTTGAAATCGGAGGAGTCGGTGACTTAGGGGCGCGTTAGGCCGCTCTCTTCCTTCGAGGGGGTGGGAGTGATATATCCTCTGCGAGGAGGCCATATTTATTAAGCGCCGCATAATCGCGTTTATTCTTCCTAGTATTAGGACAGCCGAATGTCATAGGAAGTGGAGAAGTCATCTTTACATGATATTAGTATATCAAGATTGTGTCTTGATTGATCGCTTACTTTAGAGCACCCAGAAGTGATGGTTTTCAGTAGCGTTTGACCACGATTCGGATGTTGTTCTGGATAAAAGCATGTACGCGTCTCCACGCGTCCTAGTGGAATCTCCGCTAGCCCGATTAGACTGTCCATTTGCTCTACATTGAATAAAATATGCAACTATGGATATCTTCCCTCTATATTAATAGGTTACGTGTATCTCAATGCGATCTATGGGATAATTTAATTTGAAGCAAAACGGACAAGAAATAAGGTTATGGTCTTATTGACTAAATTAGAACTAAAAATTATATATTATTTGTATAGAGGTTATTGCCAAACACTCGCGTCTATTGATACTGCCCTATAACTCTCTTCATTCGAGGTCAAATTGTTTAATTTTTATGTAATAGACAAACCCTAGCTTATCTATTTCTGTATCTGTTGATTATTTAACTAGTTAACTCAATAACAGCCATTTATTACACTTCATGTGGCGTCGATTGATGGCATGGCGTGGAACTGCAGACACTGCCAGTCCTCATTTACCGCCTTCCCAATGAGGCTTTGGTCCTAAAAGTTCGCGAACTTCGAATCGAATTCGAATCGGCCGTGAATTCGAATTCGTACGAATCGATCTGTTGAGATAAGTGTGTTGTCTGATTCTTGTTAATTGACGTATTTACAGAAGAGGGGTAGCCCATCCTTATATATCCGATCGTAATCCCCGCCATAAGCTTCAGCCGCTGTGATATTCAACACTCCCACTCGATGGCAACCGTCACCAAGGGAGCCAATAACCATTCATCACGGTTGCGGCGGGCCCCATTAAAACCTTGAAAACCCCCTTTGAAGGGAAAAGAAGGAAAGGGTACCCTTGCATCTTAGTCTCTGCTCAAGGCCAGTAAGGTGTGGTCATCACTTAATACCAAGTCCTCTCCGAAACCATTCAAATCGTTGTCGTGCAAGAGGCTTAGTGAACCCATCGGCAATTTGCTCGGTAGTTGGAATATACTGCAGTTCTACCGTTCCAGTGTCTTGCACCTCTCCTTGCCACTTGCGTTGGATTTCCATATATTTTGTGCGAGAGTGGTACTGCGGGTTCGAGGACAGGGCGATAGCTCCTTGATTGTCGCCACAAATAATCGTTGCGGCTTTCCCTTGGCTCATGTTCAATTCATTAAGAAGTCTTCTCAACCAGACTGCTTCTTTGGTCGCTTGTGTCTGCCCTAGAAATTCAGCTTCACAGGTTGAGAGGGCAACAACGCTCTAGCGCTTCGATTGCCAACTGATTGCTCCACTCCCGATATTGAAAAGATATCCAGCCGTTGATCGTCTTATATCATGACATCCACCCCAGTCTGCATCCGTGAAGCCCTTTAGCATCTGAAGATGGCCCCTGTATATAAGTCTAAGGCTTTTTGTGCTTTTGAGGTACCGCAGGATACGTCGAGCGAGCTTTATATATTGGGGTCCAGGATTAGCTAGGTATCTGCTCGCTATAGAGACCGCATACGCGATATCCCCCCTAGTCCTAAGCATAATATACATCAGAGATCCGACAATGCGCTGGTATTTAGTCCGCTGATCTGGAGGGCATTTGTATCCTAGACTATTCTCTGGAAGTGGCGAGGTTTCTATCGGTGTGCTAACGGGAGCGCAGTTGCTGATTCCGAACTGACGAGAGACCTTATCGATATACGCTTCTTAGCTTAGGTACAGGACCCTGTTTTGACAGTCTCGCTGGATAGACATCCCGAGATAGTAGCTGCAAGGTCCTAAGTCTGTCATTTGAAAGCGGTTTCTGAGGCTCCGCTTAATCTTCTTTATCTCCGCAATACTCGGCCCCACAAGCAGGAGGTCATCAACGTACACCGCGATGTATATATTGCTCCGGACGAAGATACCCAGATCTGCGTTGATTAGCTCGAAGCTAAGATTGCGTAGGAAGTTTGTAAGAGTCTGGTACCAAATACGAGGAGCTTGCTTTAAGCCATAGAGTGCCTTTCGAAGTTTGCAGACCCTTGATGTGCCGTCGGTTATGTGGTGAGGCTGTTCGACGTAGATCTCGTGATCTATATCCCTGTACAGGAATGCCGTTTTGACATCCATTTGCTCGATCTCTAGACCCAAGGCCGCTCCGATTGCGAATAGGGCTTTGTAGCTCATTGGCTTGACAACCGAGGCAAAGGTTTCGTCATAGTCGATACCCTCTTCTTGTGTAAAGCCTCTCACTACCCATCGGCTTTTGTGACGGATGACTTCTCCATGCGGTCCTCGTTTGAGTTTGAAGACCCATTTTCCGCTGAGAATCCGACGATCTTTTGGAGGATCAACAAGCTCCCACGTTTTGTTCTGGTTGAGCGAGTTCACTTCGTCAAGCATTGCCTTTTCCCATTCGAGCCAGCTTGCATCGTTCTTCACTTAGTGCAGAGTCTTTGGCTCAAAGGGTTCGGTTTCCTCTGCAGCCAACGTCAAGAATGTTGGGATAACCTTCTCTCCAGGTATACTTATTAACGCAAGGTCTTCTTCGCTATCACTAAAAGTATCTAGTGTGACCTGTGGAGCGCGAATTTGGAGTTCAGGGTAGTGTGCTAGTGCTTCTTGTCGCACTTCATAAACTAGGCGGTCAAGCTAGAGTTCTGGATATCGTTGCTATTCTCCTGAAACTAGACCTTGTTAAGCGTCGTCTTGTTGCTGGCCGCCTCCGGGTGGTAAGTCATTCCTCTGGATGATGTCTTGTAAATCATCTGCAAATGATCCAAAGGTATCATCACTCCGTGTAGGCGATAAGGTCCTGTCTCCCTGTACAGCAACAGATGGCTGCGAGTCATCGTCACTCGATTGAAACGACGCTGATATCTGCGAGTCCTCGTTACTTAACTAGGTTAGCACTCGTGAGTTATCGTTACTCGATCGAGGTAGTATATGCGAGATATCGTTCCTCGACTTAGGTAGGGCTCGCTCTAGTGGTGCCGTCGATAATTGGCGCCTAGAGGCGGGCACGGATACTTGCTGTATACCTACCGACGGTTGATTTATTAGTCCCACTATCTTACTCCCCCTGCGGCAGCAGCCGTTGCCTTAGGTGAGCTGTCTCGTCTGGCTCCTATATCTTCTATAGTCTGTGTAGAAGGAGCTGTAAGGACTTCGTGAAATTCAGCGTTCGGGGTCCCAACGATTCTTCCGTCTTCCAGCAGAATACGGTAGTTAATATTTCCCTCATAGCCTAGTAGAATGTATAGCCTAGTCCTTGGCTCTGTGAGCTTCTTCCTCTGCTTAGGTGGGATCAAGTATTCCCCTTTGGATCCGATCACTCTGAGTCGTGATAAGTCAGGTTTGTCGCCGTACCAAGCTTGATACGGAGTTATGTTAAGCTTTGATAACGGCGACCGGTTAGAGAGGAAGGCTACAGTTCGAGCAATTTCTGGCTAGAATTTAGGTGGTAGTCTCGTATGTGCTAGCGTGGGCCCAACCCGATTATAAATTGTCTTATAGGCTCTCTCGGCAACCCTATTCTGCTAGTGCTGGTCAACGCCTGTGACCTCGGCATAGATTGCCCGTGAGAACAGCATAAACTTCATCTCCTCTCCTACTTACTCAGGAATCCGGTCGAGGCGTATTCGTCTACATTTTCGTTCAGGGCGTTCGTTGTGGTCAAGAAAGAACCGTAACGATTCCACAACAAATTCTTGTCGTCGTAGTATAGGGATAATCTCGATCCACCCCGTGAAATCGTCGACGATAGTAAGCTAATAGCGACTTCCATTAAGACCCTCGTCAAATAGTCCTACAGCATCAATATAGAGGAGTTCTATTAAATATTCCTCTCTTCCGCTCCGTCCTGACCGGTTGTGGGGCTTTTCAATCATTCGTCCCTGGAGGTATAGGTTGCATAGCTAACGTGGTTCTATATCTCGGATACCGTTAGCCTGCTTCTTAAGCCGTTGTAGGTTCGCATCGCTTAGGTAAGCTAGCCGGTTATACCACAGAGCCATTTGTGGACTGATATAGTAGGAAGGAAAGGTGAGATTCGTCCATAAATCGAGTGCATAGACCCTATAATACTGGCTGGCAGTGTATAGGTTCTTTCCGTTTGACTTGTTGCGAATACTAGCGTTTTGACTTAAGAATTCGACTTTTGCTCCTCGGTTGAGAAGCTGGAGCACCGATATAAGGTTTGCGTGTGCAGATGGGACGTAGAGGACATTATCAAGCACAAGCTATTTCCTTCTGCCTCGTACATTACACAGAATATTGACTGTTCCCACTCCCGAGGGAGTCGTGGAGGTATCGACGCTTCTCAGTGGTGGTCTATGGTACTTGTCTATCTTTACAAATCTCGAGGCGTTATTGCAGACGTGCTGAGTATATCCACTATCGACGATCCACGCGTCACGGATCGACAAGGTTTTAGTAGCTATTATTGTGGGGATGTGGTCGAACAAGGCGAAGTTGCCTTCAACATCCTTTCCGAATGCTTGATTAACATCTTCTCCGGGGACTTTTGTCGCCATGAAGGTGGGCTTCTTTGGATCCCTTGGGCCACCGACATCATCATCTTCGTTATCCGTGGAGGGCCGCCGCTTCGACGGTTTGCGTGCGCCTGTATGTGAATTGCCTGGCTTTGACTTGTGGCTCTTTCCGTCTTTCTTCTGATCCTTCGGTCTTGGATTCTTGCTGAAGCACTCAGAGTCCACGTGATAGGGTCTGCGGCACAAGGAGCAATATGGGACGTTATCGATCTCGATTCGGTATATCGTTCTGTCGGATGACGGTATGACTTTCTTGTTACCTGGCCCTCGGATTATAGCGAGAGCAGGAAGTGCTTGCGCCTCGGTTGGTTGTTTGCTCAATTGCCCCTTCCTATGTTCTTCCTTAATTGCCTTGTTCTCGATGTAGTCGAACGTGGGCGCCGCTTTCGTGATGTTACTATTAGTATCTCTTTCATTAACAAGATCTATTTGCCGAAATATATAATCACGGAAGCTTTCATACTCGGGACCTAATACGTGTACGAAAAAGAATGTTCGCTCAATCTCGGAGGTCACGTAGTTAGGGTCAAGGAGAAGTTTCTCGGTATAGATCTTCCTGATCTCGGCTCCGAGGGCTTAGGCGCTTCTACATTTCTCTCTTGTGAGGGCCATATACCGTCGCTGGAGGTTAACGTACGTGCCAGTGCCTTCTAGTTTGAAGTTGTCTTTAACTGCCTTTAAGAGTGTCTGGACTCGAGAGATCTCAAATGCGTTGATCCTTTGTGCTGCATTGTGTGTCATCTTTGCCGTGATCATCGCAGAGTAGAACTTTTGGCGATGGGTCTATTGCCGTGCTTCATCGTCTTCTATCGGTGGAGTCGTTCTATCGTCGGCAACGGCGGATATCCGAATAAACTCATTGACCTTCTGATTCCACTTAAACCAGTCACTGGTATTATCCAGTATTGGGATGCTATTGTAGAATACATTTAATCTAAACTGCTCAAATTTTGCGATGTTAGTTATAGCGTAGATGGAGGATCCTTTAAGCTGAGGAATTCTGGACTTAGTCCGTCGTTGACCGGGCTGGAAGTAACCATGGGTCGCGGTCTGAGGGGCTTAGGGAACGCGCTTCTAAACCAAAGAGTTCTAGGCTTGATGCGGCACTAAGCAGGCTCGAGACGATGGAAGGACTTCGGTCAGATAGATCTGGCGTAGGCAAGTGGGATGGAGGAACGTAGTCTTTGTCTGGTACGCTGTCCAACTTCAAGTGGTTTTTATATGACTTAAAGAATTGAGGAAAACGAGAACGGTCGATCGAGAGTCGTGACTGGCTGTCCAAAAAACTTTGACACCTGTTTGGCTGAAGGTTGTACCGTTTTATCCTGTCGATAAGTGCAGGAAGTCGGTCGTCCTCTTTACGCCTTAACGTGGAGTCCTTGTTTCGAGAAGTAACGCGAGAAGCGGCGATTGAATTAGCAACAATCGACGCACGGTATCCCCGTTCCTCAAGCGTTAGACAGGGGCGCGGCAGTACGCAATTAAATTGATTTCTTCATCCGTCCACCGATGGTATTGTGGCTTTGGCCTTGTTATCCTTCTTCTTGCTTTAATGGTGTTGAAAGGAGGGTGATATATATAGCCAGGATCCAACCTGTCCCGCTTGTGATGTTGTCTCAGTTGGATTTCGGTCATCAAATCGTATGGGACGGCGGCGTGATATCCTGTGACAGTCTCTGTGATAGTGTAACAAGTCTCTGTGACAGTGTAACAGGTCTCTGTGACAGTGTAACAAGCCTCTGTGACAGTGTAACAAGTCTCTGTGATGGTGTAACAAGCCTCTGTGACAGTGTAACAAGTCTCTGTGATGGTGTAACAGTGATAGTGATGGTGATCTTGTGATAGTGATACGTATCGGGACTCGGGAGGAGGTCAGTTCTCTTCATTCCCCCAGAGGTTTTGAACTCTGGACTTCGACCGTTTTTCACCATGTTACTGAATCAATATGGTCAGATCCTTGAGTTAATGAAGATTTCACTTCATGGGGAAGCTTAGCTGTAGAATGGCAGTCAAAGGGTTGTCTGTTTTGAATCTCTGCTGCCTAACCGCGCGTCCGAGGGTTACGCCCTCGGGCTCATAACCTGTTGAGATAAGTGTGTTGTCTGATTCTTGTTAATTGACGTATTTACAGAAGAGGGGTAGCCCATCCTTATATATCCGATCGTAATCCCCGCCATAAGCTTCAGCCGCTGTGATATTCAACACGATCTGTTCAATAATAATTCGAATCGAATCGAATCAGGCAAAAGTTCGATTCGATTCGATTCGTGCGGAGCGGTAAACCTGGCGTAGTTTCCGATATTGTTCCTCCGTCTCTGGGCTCGGAGGAGCGCGCTCCAAATGGGATGCTTGCGAGGTAGAGTGTGGAGTCTTGCGATTGTGTGTTGTGCTCGGCGGCGGAGGCGGAGGTGTGTTGGGAGGACGTGCGCTTCTACTTCTAGAGTGGCGGTCGCTACTGTTTTAAACGCTGACAGGATACGGATCAGAGGGGCTCTCTGAACTGTGTTTAGGTGGCGTAGGTGGACTTTATCACGCAGAGGATCATGCCAGACCGTTGACGAATAGTCTACTACTGGTGTGACGCATGCTTGATAGATCTGTCGCATCTGTTCTGGGCAGGTTGTTACAGCCATTCTCGAAATCGCCTTGAGTCCTTGACCAATATATACACTGACACTCTTTTCTGGGCCCACCGCCAAGGCCTTAGCACAGATGTTTTATTGAGTGGTCCGCATTAAATTGAGAGGCATAGTAAAATGCGCCTTGTATTTTACAGTTCCTAGGTATGTAATATTACACTATGCGAACGAAAAGTCCGTGGAATTCCATGGAACCTCATCCTGGACCTATGAAAGCCCTCATTGCGCGAGCGCCACAGCCGCCTTGTTTGCGGAAGATCTAGAGGCTCCGTTCTTAACCCCGCCCCTCACCAAACTCTGGCATTCATGGTAACAAGCCTGCCTCACACCGCATTTTTGTCCTACTGTATACCGTCCGAGTTATGACCCGCTCATTCCATGTCAAGAATCCAATCGTTACATAGTCTATCATGGAAGCCAGCGCCCCTCTATCCCACGACGATTACACGGTCGGATGGATATGCGCCTTGCCAGTGGAGATGGCAGCTGCGAAGCTGATGTTAGACAAAATACACCCCCCTTTACCTCGCCTGCCGATGGATCAAAACACATATATTCTTGGAACATCGGGGAACACAATATTGTAGTTGCTCCATGGCTCCATTCTCATTACATATCGACTCCAAACTTTGACAGAGCTAGGGAAGTCTTTTCCAGTCCACAGACTTGACTCTAAGGATGCAATTCAACTGCATTTACAAAGCAGCAGTCTATCAGCAAGGTATACCATTAGGGAGCTTGAGAGTAATTCAGGTACTGCGACACTTGATACACGTATCTCATATATGCGGCATCACAATAAATAACACAAAGCAGTCGAAAACTAAATCTAACGGAAAAAGAATCGATGACTTTCCCCTTAAATATTCCTCCGAACAACATCTTCTCTTATTCTCTAACACCTCGAAAAAGCGATGCTAGGCTAAAGAAACAAAGATTCTACCAAAGGAGCATCCCGCCTTACACCATCCCATTATTCTTCCAAGGCCATTCTATCCCTCTAAAAACCCCCCAACAATAGCAGCACACCTCCCATAATCTACCCTAGGTAAATGCCACCCCACAAACACCAGATCCGGATCAATGGCATACGACAACAACCGCCAATATAGTGCCCTAACAAGCAACTGGAGTCGTACCTCATCAGTCCCAAAGGCCTCTATCAATTCAGCGCCCTTACCTAACCATGCGAGTCCGTCTGCCACGATGATTGCCTCTGCGTACAGAGCTGGTCGCCAGTAAAGAGTAATGTCAATAATACCCGGTGGAACGTTTGTATCGGCGTCGAAGAGGACGTTCCCTGTGAGATCGCCATGGATAAGCTGGTTTTTGAGATCTGCTAATATTGGCTTTCGTAGTTTCAGAAGCTGGTCGAGGGCAGGCTGTATTATGGATAGGATCTCGGTGTTGACATCTGCTACCTCATCGAGGGTTTTTTCCTCCCACGTCACGGAATCAGCCTCAGTAAATCGATCCAGTCTTTGTTTCAGAAACTCGGGCTTCTCAGTAGAGAGCGTAGCAGTGTCCGCGTGAAAACCGCGGCAGGCTTCCAACATAGCTTCGAGGTTGGGCTCTGATTTTCCGGGAAGGAACGTCCATGCTGTCCAGCCCTTGTAGACGTAGCCTAGTTGAGATGTGATTGGCTCCGGTACGTAGTAGTTGGTGGGCTGAAGGGCTGCTATCGAATGACATAAAGATCCGACATACTCGGCTTCTTGGTCGTCGTCTGAAGGCTTGAGGATGATGTCGCCCGCTTTGAAGCACAAGTTTCTACCACCGGCAACTGGAACTGGCCGAGTTGAAATGCCAAAAGCCTCGAGGACATCTGACGCTGGTTGTGTCATGTTGTTGATGCGTTCGTGTATCTCTGGCAAGTTGTGAGGTGCAAAACCTTTAAAGTCTGTCAACCAAAGGGCGTGGCCGCGTGGGACAGAACAGCAGTCACGTGACCGATGGTTATAAATCGCGAATCTTTTTGCCAGGTCCTGATTACCTGAATGCTCTGAAACGAACGAAGTGAGATAACAGAGCGAGGTAATCTCGTATCTGCTAGTATGCACTCTGGCGAATGAGGATCAGGCGGAACCAACTAAAACGGGATGAATTGATTGATTGTAGATAAAATGAGTGGCAGGCAGAGGTATGTTAAATACACATCTGCAGAGTTGGTCCATAGTTGATATGTGGATGGGACCAATTCCTTCGTGTCTTAGAGGACCCATGGGATACTCGAAAGTGACTTCGGAGCCCCGTAATTTACATACAAAACCCAAAGAAAGGCGGGGGACAAAGGCAACCAATAGGAGGCAGCTGTAATTAACTGCTCCACTTTCCTCGACACAATCACTCCTAACCCCTCCACCACACCCAGGGTCTCCTTCGTTAGGGAGCCCCTTCCCCAACACCGTTCTTTTGAGCAACCATCCCGGCTGCCGCTCTCGCACTCTATGGTTCTCTCTTTCTGTGGATTCAGCATGACTTGGCTTAGCACTCTTAAATAACCTTGACTGTGGCTGGGATCGAAACCACGCTAGACCAAAAAATGCTCCATGGGCCACATTTCTGGTTACTACCGTCATTTATTGCTCTGACAAAAGTTCATTATTCGTAATATGCTACACCTTGCCGTATTTGGTCAAGCACGCTAAGAGCTAAGATCACGGGACTCAGTGGTCGACGTTCTCAAGCTTCTCAAGCCTTAGTTACACTCGTCTAGGGTTAGTAATATTACGAATAATACGAATAAATTACGCATCGAATACGAATAAGGCCTCCAAAAACCATCTCGAGTACGGATATGGATTTCGAAAAATTTTGTGAGTCCGGTTATGCAAAATCTTTATTCGTGTCCGGCCCTATTTCTGGGCAATCTATGAGGGTACTCAACAAGCGGGCATCAATTCACAGACACTACTAGGGCTCAGTGCGTCTTCAGTATCATAGGCGGGCAGAGTTCTCGCGAATACGAGTTGCCCAAGGACCACGTGTTTGTTACTTCAGGTCAGTTCCTGAAACTTCATTCTTCGTATTGAACACGTCGAATGATGTCAAAATTGCCGCAAATCCATTCTGCCTGTCACAGGCACCACAATTACCATCGAGGATACATTTCCGCTCTGTGTACGGATATATAGTACCCAAAGAGGCTCAAAATCCAGACTTTGATCAGCACATAAGCAAGAACTTCCACTTGTCAGCCAAGCAACCATGAGTGGTACGTTGCTTCTAGCTTGATATGCCTACCCAGCTAACACGGCCTATTTCAGCTCTCGCCAAATGGCTTTGCGGATCTGCACCCGTCGAACACAAGGTTCTCCTGATGGGGGATTATGAATGTGGCAAAACCACGTTTCTCGATCGCCTGAAGTTCGAGCAGGTCCGAGAGCACCCGAATCATACCGTCAACGTCAATGTCGAGACGGTGGAGTACCCAAAAGGCTACAATTGGCATATCTGGGAGATAGGAGGTATGGTTTCATTACCCTTTATGATCATTACACGGTCCCTGGGAAAAATTAAGTACGCTGACATCCTGGCCCAAAAAGGTGATCAAAAATCTCGCCAGCTGGCGTGGCACCACCTCTCTCCAGCCACATTGGTCATCTATCTTCATGACTGTGGAAATCCCGCCGATCGAGTGCCAGTATCCTTTTCTCCTTTACTGCAGGACATGGCCAATATCGGGGCAAAGTATATCTGGATTGCCTTCAACAAGCAAGCTGACTGGGGATTTAAGCGAGCCAGAATCAATACTCTTCGCCAAGAATATGAGAAGGAGCTTGAAAACTATGGAGGCAGAATTTCCGGAAAGGTTCTCACTCACAGGCTGGACGCAAAGTCCGCGGAAGGGACATTTATCGTACTAGAAGACATGTTCGCTACAATGAGAGACCCCAGAGACAATTCCCCTCGACTACCAGCACCTGGGCGTCCAAAGAAGGATCTCGCTCTACAGAGGCTCGTTGAAATGGAAATTGCTCAGGACGATATGGATCCCGAGGTCTTTTGGGAATACTTACAAAAAGGTGTTTTTATTAACTGGAGTCATTATCACCTTATAAAAGCTCTCTACATGGTTGTATTGCAATCAGTAGAAGAACAGGCGATCAACCCATTACCATCCGTGGGAAGCAGAGAAACTTGCTTTGATATCGCAAGTACCTTTGACAGGTATATGAACGTCATGAGCAGGACGTCACCTCGATGGTTTGAAAAAACGCGACACAAGTAAGCAAAAAAAAAAAAAACCCCCACTGCTCGACAAGCATTGAAAGAAAAGCTGACTGGCTCCAGAACCATGGTCCTATTCTGGATTCTGCAAACACAATATGCCATTCGAGATTATCGGAAGCAGAAGGGGATGCAAGACTTTCCAGGCTTGAGGGGCTTTTATGGGGTTCTACGCCACTCTCCCACACTCATGGATTCCGAGCTTTGGAAATGGTATTACTGGAGTAGCGAATTCTGGTCCAGCCATGCCACAAAAAACTGGTTACCCCCGACCTCGAAGCCTCTCCCGTGGGTATCATTCATGTCTGATCAGTCAACTGATCTGCCCGCGGTTCAAGAGGACCCAGACCGACTGCTGCGATACGCGTTTGGGATTCTCCAGTACGTCTACAAGAAGGATTTACACAGAATCGGCGTCACAGCGCGGGCACTTCTCGCGCTTGAGAGGAGCACGATGCGCCTACGGAAAAGTTACCCTTCCATATCTCCGTACTCCGAAACACAAGCATATTTCTGGCTTCAGGTTGTGCAGATTGCCCTACAATCTCTATATGTGATCGATCCGCAATCAGAGAAAGAGGGGATGGGCTGCAGAAGTCCAGCCTCTCGTCTTCCGTTTAGCGGCTTCAAGGAGCTGGTTGAAATTGATAGTGAAAGCTGGAACCGGTGCTATTCTCGAAAGGTTTGGTACAGCATGGAAGCCCGTTCGCAATATATTCCCCCCGATATTCGGCCTCTGAACTCATTGATTAAGAAATCTTGGATTTCAAATGATAATCCAATCTTTGTGCAACGAATGAAAGCTTTTCTTACGGAGATCGACTCCCTCGAACCTTCAGTCGAAGAGCTTTCCTTTCGCGCGACGTTAGTTCTGGATTTATCGCAGGAGCTTAATGCAAGAAATCCGGTGATTGAAGGTCATAAACACCTGTTGCTCTTCTTGTATACAAATCTCGTTACCGACATGAAGTCCCAAGATTCAGAGAAAGCGTCCTCGCTCCGGATTCAACGTGCAGTGGAGCTCTTCTCAGAAGTATCAGGTCCTCTGGTTGACGCACTCACCCACAAGCACTTCTGGTTTCAACAATTCTTGGCAGCTCTCGACCTTGCAAGAAGTCGGAAATCAGAAAAGGACGCAAGCTCGGATTTTTCGACGTTTGCGGATTTCATCATGAACAGCCTGGAGCTCGTCAACGAGGACCTCCCGATTCAGTTCTATAACCCGGAGATCTGGCACAGCGAAAAGGCAAGGCAAACGATCATCACCCCGGACAAGAGGGAAATGGCGAATATTCTAGAACTGGGTGCTACGAGTGAGATGAGCGACTGGGTTGAGGTTTGAGTTGTTCTGGAATGCGATGAAAGCACCTGCCATATAGGCTCTAGTCTATTAATTAAAGCAATGCAACCATCTCCGCCTCAAGAAGGCCCTGGGTTCGCAAGTCAAGTTCTACAATTCAAAGCATCAGCCCCAAGAGTACAAATTCCGCGATCTCATCCTTCTTTCTACAAAAACCTCAAGCTCAACCTACCCTCCAAGAAGTTAATCCCACGATTCATTGGGCCTTTCCGGGTCCTTCAACGTATTAGACAGCAAGCCTACCTCCTTGCCCTTCCCGAACAATATTCCCGAATTCACAACGTGTTCTATATCTCTCTACTAGAACCCTAGAATCGAAAGAAAGGCGATACGAATAATATGCCGATATCCGAACTTAAAGGTAATAAGTAGGAAGTTGAAGAGGCTAAGGAAGAAAAATCAATTCACAGAACGATATACTCTCTAGTCAAATAGAAAGAGTAGCCCTCCGAGTATAACTAGTAGATCCCAGAGGAAGATATAGAAAATGCAAAAGGAGTAATTGCGAAATTCAGAAAAGTAAGGACAACAAGAAAAACAAGAAAACTATAGCAACACGATTATGTTAGGGTGTAGTATGATCAGGGGAAGCAACAGGCACTGCGTAATCAAAGTAGAGTTCGATGAACAAGTGAAAGTTGGGTTCTTCGTCCGTGTTATGGAGAGATTGTCTGCGTCAGGACTTGTTTCGGAGACCTGGAGGGCAAACAGGGGGTAATTAGCCTAAGACAGATATGACGGAGAGGAGGGAGTTTGGAGAGTGTGTTATTTCATTTTTTTTTTTACGGTTTTGAGACTCAATCAACTTCGATTTGCGTATCTTGACAGATTAGGAAGAGGAGATGGGTGCTTATTTAGCGAAACCAGCGGAAAAATATGTAATATTTGTAAGGGGCCGGTTACTGGATGAACGGTGCCAAACAAGACAGATTTCATATTCATAGTAAATTTCCTATTTCTCGTGCTTTCTCTTAGTTCTTTTACAGCCTCACTCTGGCTGAGTTGTCTGCATTGTAAAAACGCATTTTCATCTACTTCGTGGTATCTCCTTGGAATCTTATGAGGCCTCCCGCTCATCAGTCTCATCGATCTTCCTAGTCATCCGCGACTGCCTTCCCAGGGGAAGGAGAGAATAAATGTAGGTCCTTAGTTATCTGTTCGTCGGTTTATCATAAAGTGGATGAAAATTTCCACTTGTTTAGGAGTCTACTGACCTATTTAGACATGCCACAACACATTCCACAACAAGGGCAT